AATGTTTATGAAAATTAATAAAATATAATTATAGAAAAAAAAAAATACTCTTGTCACAATCTCCAGAAAGTGAAAGAGGAGAGAACACTTCCTGGTTCATCTGTGTGAAAACCTGGAATAGGCAGTCAAGAAAATTAATTTTATTACAGACTGATATTTTTTATGAATAGAAGTAAAAAATCTTCAACAAATACTAGCAATCTGAATTCAACAATATTTAAAAAGTATAAATACATTTTGATCCAGTGGGATTTATCTCTGAAATGTAAGATTGCTTTATCATCCAAAAGTCAATTACTTTATCAATAGTTAAAAAAAGATAAAAGATCATATCATCATCCTAGTAGACAGAAAATACATTTGACAGAAGTTAAAGTTAACAGCCTTTCATGAAGAACTGCTAACTACTCAAAGCAGAAATAGAAGTTCCTAAACATGCTGAAGGAACATTCTATGAGAAAATGACAGCTGCTGTCATTTTCAGGGAGCTCTGGTGGCCTAGTGGCAAGAAGCTGCCCTGCAATCCCAGAGGCATGCAGTTCAAATCCAGCAGATGCTCTGCTGGAAAAGGAGGGACAATCTCCTCCTGTACCAGTCAGATCCGATTTGACGGTACACGCACACAATAAAATAATAAAATAATAAAATAAAATTTAAAAAGAATGGGTCTTTGTGAGCTTTCTGTCACAAATGGAGTGTCTTAGAACAACAGATTTATTATCTTTAGCTCTGTAGTTTACAATTCCACGAAGATCTCCCTGAACTAAAAGTAGCTCGTCAGCTGGGACTGTGGTTTCCATATGCTTTGAGACCAGAACTACATGGTGCCTCAACACCCCAACCAGCCATTCCATTCAGGGTCACAGTAGGTACACCTGGATTGAATGGGAGAACTTTATTTTATTATTTTTTTTATTTTGTGTGCGTGTACCGTCAAATCAGATCTGACTGGTACAGGAGGATATTGCTCCTCCTTCTCCGGCAGAGCGTCTGGTGGATTCGAACCGTGTTCCTCTGGGATTGCAGTGCAGTTTCTTGCCAGAATGGGAGAACTTTAAATTGCTTTAATAATAATTTAAAAAAGTCAAACCGAAACAAGTGTACACTAAGGTCGGTTGAGGCTCTATGGCTTCTGTGATGACTGCCCTGAGACACTTCAGACCCTGAATTAAAACCACAAAACTCTTAGGAAAGAATGTTGGCAAAAATCTTTAGGACAAAAAAAATCTTTAGAACCATTTCAAGCATAGCCCTACATTACCAATAAAAAAACTGTTAAGTGATTCCCTGAGCAGACGGACAAGACAGACAGATCTGGGCAAGTGAATGGGACCACATCCGTGATCATGTAGAAATTTGGCAAATGCTAGTTCGTCATATTTGTAGAGTATAGGGTTTCGAAGGCCACTGTGGGTTGTTGTCAACACCCTGATACTTAACAGCCTTGTTTGCATGTGCTGCAAATATCTGTGTACAGCCAGCAGGTGGCAATATTGAGTAAATGGCTTAACCATCAACAGCCTGAGCTTTAGGACCATAGTCTTTGGAAACACCAAGGTCAGTAATGTTCTATGCTCTATATTGGTGAGTAGCAGCTGGAGACTTTAAATCTGCGGGTGGCTAAGATGCAACACTGGTGCCAATAAAAGAAAATAAGAGGGCATGAAAACAATTGGTCTATCATACCAGTTGACCTGTAATACCAACTTCCACAACACTGAAACAAGAAGAACTGGCTGGTGGCCCGCTGCTGTCAGTAACCACTCTGGTGGGAATTACAATAGCGTGGGAGAAATGTAGTGCAGAACTCTAAAGTCACAAAAACGAGCACGTTAACTGGTTTGATTTAAACTGGTAAAACCGCAAAACTATGACTCTAAGCTGCCCTTGAACCTAAAACTGAACACTACTTGCAGCTGCCAAACAATAGACTTTTCTGTGAGGTTAACAGTAACACCAAGAGGGTGCTCAGCCCTTAGAATAAATCAGTCACAGAGGCTCGGAAGTGCAGCCTTCATCCAAGGATAACACTGAGGAGGTCAGAAGGGTAAATAGAAACAGGATCCATAGAAAGAGTAGAGTGAAGAGACAATGGGGTGACTGTAGTCAGTGCCAGAAAATGAAACATGTATGGCTGGTGGAATGGAACAGCAGTCTCACTGAAACTTTCTGATCGCAAGAGCAAATGAAAAATAATAAACCACAGCTATTCACTGAACACATGTATAAAGCTAAAATTAAAAACCTTTATGACCTAGCATTAGTTAGTGGTTTCTTAGATAATACCAGAAACATAAGCAACAAAAGGGGAGGAAAAAAATTACTTCCAAATTAAAATCTTTTGTGCTTCAAAGAGGCTATCAAAATATAACCCCAAGTCCCAGCATGGGAGAAAAGACTTTCACATCACCTCTCTGCTGAGGGACTTCATAGGTTGCCGTGAGTCAGAACTGACTTAATGGCAACAGGTCTAAAAAATAAATAATAGGACGAAATACAGTGTAAATGCAGGACTATATGGAACACAATTTTTAAGTTAATAAAAAAAATTTAAGATTTCTTAAAACTCACTATTAAAAAAGACAAATAGTCCAGTTATAAATTGGGAGGATATCTGATTAATATTTCTGCAGAGATGATGATACACAGATAATCAGATAAAAAGTTGGTCAACAGCATTAGTTAGCAAGGAAACTGAAATCAAAACCAACATGAGACGCTACATTCCACCCAGCTGTTGAGTGGAATCACACTGAGCCTTCTGCACATTTCTGAGGCTGTAAGTCTTCAGACCATCAGAGCACCTTTGACACCCACTTGGATAGTGAGCAGCTTCTGAAAAACCACTGGAGGGTCAATTTCTGAGTCACCAGCTTGATGACAGTGAGGATAGCTAAAATAAAAAGGCAGATAGTAAAAAAAAAAAAGGCAGATAGTAACAAATGATGTAGCTCAGGTTCTTTTTTTTTCCCTATAATTATATTTTATTAATCTTCATAAACATTTACAGAGATTTTGGG